TCCATACAAAGGTAGTGTAACTTCAAAAAAAAAAAAAGGAAGTAAATAAAAAGTGCTAATCCTCCAGATTGAAATAAAAAAAAACAAACTTATAACTTTGACATGTGTTTACTGATATTTATATTATTGGTTATGTGCAAATAAACCCAGTTTAGGACAAAAGTTGCATTTCATAGAAAATGAACGTATTTTCTTTGTTGAACTTATCAGTAAAAACAAACTACTCCTTAGGTTTTCCTCCTAGAGAGTAAAAATACAAAAGGAGATGAAAATTCAAGTTTTTAAACATGCAACTTTATTAAACTACTGTTTTAAAACAGTATGTTCTGTCAATGGAACAGTTTTAACTGAAGTATTCCCTACTAAAAACCATTTATTTATATCTCGCTTAGTTAAAAATATTTGCCTTAGTTCTCTCTGCCATAGAAGTGCAATATGCACTTAAAAACCACAAACAAAACCATGAAGAATTTGCTTGGACAAAATTTTTTTCTTTCCTTGGTGCACAACATGAGAAGCAGCGATTTGTCACATGTTCTCACACTACCTCATTTAAACTTTATTTACAGCAAAGAGCCCTTCCTTGTGAACAACAGAACAGTTAAGGTACACAACAATCATCCAAGAGAAAAGGGAGCAATTTTGGACTGCCATGCAACTAGACACTTGCTTACTAAGAAAAATGAACAGATTAGTGGGGGGGGAAAGGTAAAGAAAGAGAGAATGAAAAACTGAATTAAGTATTTCTAATCAGAGCAAGAACTGAGGGTGCAAGACCACCAGACAGGCAGTAACTGCAGGATCCAGACCCTCCCATCTCAGCCCGAGTTACAAAGCAACCCTTTAGCTCAGCTGCTCACCTGGTTGGGACACAAAGCAGCAGCAAAGCAGAACTGAAGGAACGAGCCTAATGGGAAAACAAGCTCCAGTTCCACACAGCCAAACCCAGCCTTTTCTAACTTAGGATACCTCCACAATTTATTTACTTCTAAGTTAAGATACCTCTGCAAGTTGTAGCAGCACTTCTCCCTGTCATGGACAAATGCACTAAGAATTTCTGCTTCAAAATTACTAAGTTATAATCCTGTGTCTAAGCCACTTCGGGAACTCTCGCTTGCTGGTATTTATGCTCATTTATCCCAAACCATGAAAACAGCTGTGGTATCAAAAAATCCCAGGCACAAATCCAAAAAATGTCAATGAATCTAAATGAGCAGTATTTTGAAGAACACTCTGTCTCAATGACTGAAGGAGCAAATATAAAAACAGTCCAGAATATAGCCCACTCATTAAAATATCAGAATAGCACATTTTGGAACATGCATCTTTGCTTCTATCACTGTTTCTGCCAGCTCAGGCAGTTTTACAACATACTAAATATTTTCCCCTTTTACAGCTGCCATTTGACAAATCCAATCCAACAAAAGTATCCAAAAGACATTTTATAAAAATGTCTTTCACACATACCACCAAATATGAGAGATATATTTTAATTTCTTTCAGCACATACTTTTAGAAACACAAACCCATAACAATCCTTTGCTTTTATCTTCAGAATTCAAGACACTAACAAGAACCTTCCAGTTCCAGAATCCCTCCTTTAGATACAGATACTAAAAGAAAAGCCATATGGAACCTGTATGGATTTTTCAGAGAAATATCAGAGTCAATGAACAAGCACAAGTAGCAGCAGAAAACTGTTTTCTGCCAAAACTTTTGCACAGAGAAGTTTTAGTGGCAAAATTAAGTAGCTGAACATATAGTATCCTTTTAAACTTTTTTTACAATTGTTGTATCATCTTTTTGACAGGACAGGCGCCAACAGTATTAAACTGGAAGAGAGTGTATTTATATTGCATATTAGGAAGAAATTTTGTAACAAAGAAGATAAGGCACTGGAACAGGTTGCCCACAGAAGCTGTGGATGTCCCATCCCTGGAAGTGTTCAAGGCTGGATGGGGCTTTGAGCAGCCTGGTCTAGTGGAGGGTGTCCGTGCCCATGGTAGTGGGATTGGACTAGATTAAAGGTCACTTCCAACACAAACCATCCTATGATCTCCCCCTCTTTTAATTTCCCCATAGACATTTTAAGCTTTTTATATAAGCACCTTACTGCTTTCTCTGAAAGCTGTTTACAGCTGTGAGGACTTCTACGAGCATCCTCATTAACCATTTTGAACACTCTCTTTCCATACTGTTTCCAGAAACAGTTTGCATATACAGTTTTTATATATACACATACACACACACATATATGTACACAGTTAACGCAGTATGGCAGTAACACCATACAAGAAACACTGTTTCCATTCCCTGTACTGTCTATCCTGGGCATGGATCTGCTGAGAACACACAGCTTCTGTGCTGGGCAGCTCAGCCTTTGCTGTGCCCTGCCTCACACAATGGAAACCTGGTCCACAGCTCCAGACTGTAGTTGCTGTAAGATTTGTTCCCTTTAAATTTAAGCTGCCAAACTAAACCCTTAGCATACTTTAAGTGTATTATGCATTATTAGACAACCTTGCGTGCACAACGTGTGGCTCTGTGATTCTTTATTAAGAGCATCTTCAGACACCTACAACTTTCACCTCGAAGTTTGAGGCATGCGGGGTCACCGGCCAGAGAACTTCACACCACAAGGTAAGGACTGACACCTGAAGCTTCTGGACATCAGGAAAACCTGACCTTGCAGGTGAAGATGTGGCAGCTGTGGCGGGACACCCGCCCTTTAAGGGCCTTTACCACGGTAACGACCCCGAGCGCTCGGGGCTACCGCGGTCACCCGGGAGCGGGCGGGGGGTTCAGAGAGCGGGGACGAGGGGGTGCAGCCGGCACCGGCCTCGCCGTCATACACGCCCGGCCACGACCGGCGCGAGGCCAGTCCCGCGGGAGGGTCGAGCCTGCCCCGCTGCCCTGAGCCCCGCGGGGGCGGCCCCGCCACTCGCGCCCCGCCAGGCCGGGCCCCCGCGGCCCCGCACCTCGGGGCGCACTCACCGCTATCCCTGCCGGCCGCGGCGCTGCCCGGGCGGCGGTGCGGGCACAGGAAGTCGCGGGCCGCCTCCAGGTCCTGGAAGTGGCCGAAGGGGACGAGGGTGCAGGACATGATCCCTGATCCTGATCCCGATCCCGGCGCCACCGCCCAACCCGGAAACCGTCCACGACTTCCCTCAGGCCCGGCGCGGACCCGCGCACGGCGCATGCGCCGCGGGAGCTGTCACGTGGCGCCGGCAGCTGTGGGCGGGGCGAAGGGGGCGGTCAATGAGGGGCGGGGGCGGGACCGGGATTTACCGGGAGGTGCTGTGGGACTTAAAGGGGAAGGCAGTGGGGTTTAACGAGAAGCGCTGGTAGGGTTTCATGGAGTCAGTTAGATTGGAAAAGACCTCTGAGATCATCGAGGCTAACCTCCGACCCAGCATTGCCGTGTCAACTAGACCACGGCACCAAGTGCCACGTCCAGTCTTTCCTTAGGCATCTCCAGGGACGTGACTCCAGCACCTCCCTGGGCAGTTCAACCCAATGTCTAATGAACCCTTTCTTGTGAAGGAATTCCTCCTAATGTCCAACCTAAACCTCCTCTGGCACAGCTTGAGGCTATATCCTCTCATCCTGTCTCTACTTCCCTGGGAGAAGAGACCGACCAGCCACCTGGCTACACCCTCCCTTCAGGCACTTGTAGAGAGCAAAAGGTCACCCCTGAGCCTCCTCCTCTTCGGGGTAAACAATCCCACCTCCCTCAGCCGGATTTCACCATCCAGGTCTAATGGTGAACTAGCAGGGCCCCAAACACCCATGTTACTGTGAAGAATAGGTAACACCTCCAGTGGGTAGTGAGAACAGGGTTTCTTTCAAACTTAATTGCTCTTGCAAATACAAAGAGGTTTTATGGTTTTATTGCCAACCAATTTCTATTCCTCCTCTGGATGCTGAGGCATCTGAGTGGCAGCAGTGATTATGATGAGTGAGATTTGTTGTGGAGTGACATCAGTACAGTGCTGACAGCTGATCCTCAGCCTCAAAAACCTTCCCACAGGACAAGGAGGAAAAAAAAAGCATGTGTGGGAAGAACACCAAGGAATGTTTTCCGGGCCCCAAAGAAACACAAATTTCCCTGTACACAAGACTTGGCAAATTTTTAAATGGATCCTAGTCGACCATGAAATTTCATATATATTTATATATATATATATTTATTTTTGCTATTTTTTATTATATATCTATAAATATAAAAATTCAGTTTCTTGTTTTCACACAGGAGTCTTTTGTTTCATAGATAACAATGTGTGTCCTTGGATACCATCCAAGGAGTCCTTCTGCTGTGCCTTTTGCAACCAGACTTGTCTGTCTCACATTGGCCTCTTTAGCCACCAGCACACTTGTAGCAAATGTGTGTAGAGTCCTTCCCAAATCTTTGTTTGCAAAGCCTAGCTATGATGATGGTGATGGAAAAAATAACGTGTGTCTTGAGAAGTTAAAAGCAGAAATGATTGAGCAAGTGGTTCAAGTCCTTCTGCAAGTTTGGTTTGTCGTCTAGGTCTTCTGGATGGTATTTAAATACCTTCTAAGACTGAACAGATTTTTAATAAGAGAAGCTTCATGCTGGATTGGGTTGTCAGGCAATACACAGGTTAGACTTGAATTTAAACAGATGAATAATCCTGTGGCTATTCAATACAGAGTTGCTGAATGCTGTTTTTCTGATTGGGCATAAAATCAGAAGCTATGGAACAATGGGAATTATGTTATTCAAAAACAAGGTCACGGTGTAGGAAAGGTTGAGACACTGTTATAAGGAATGGATAATGACACTGAAGATTTGAACATGTAAAGCCTGTGAGGAAAAACATATTTCATGCCATTTTAGACCCGTAACATGCACAGTCACTAGTAATCTCAAGTGAATAAATAAAGAATATGCAAGTAATTAAATTAACAACCAGTTTTATCATTCTTTAGTGAAGCTTTCATCACATTATGAAAATCTTCTTCTTTAGAGACAAGTGCACAGTGTAAGACTGTCATATCCCCGCCTGGTTTGCTGTACACAAAGAAGTCAAGTTAGAAAACTGCCAAGATACCAATTAAAGCATAAAATAAGGCAATGAATAATTTAGCAAGTAAGTTTAGTAGGTTTACATTAGATAGTAGGAAGAAATTCTTGACCATGAGGATGGTGAGGCACCGACACAAGTTGCCCAGAGCAGCTATGGATGCTCCCGCCCTGGAAGGCTTCAAGGACAGGTTTGGAGCCAGGCTTGGAGCCAGGCTCTATTGTCCAGGGTGTCCCTGCCCATGAAAGTGGGGATAAGAAGTAGATGATCCTTAAGGTCTTTTCCAGTCCAAACCATTCTCTGTTGCTCCTGCCCCCGTCCCCACGCCAGAGGCCCCAGTGCCCAGAACACAGAACCCACCACGCTGTGACATCAGCCTCAGGGACGAGGCCTTTGCGGGCAACACGGCTGCTGTGGGCACTGAGTCTGCAGCTGTGCTGGTGCAAGGAGCCCTCACTTCTTGCAGCTGACACGTGCCTCTGGCAGCCATGAGTTGGCTCTGCCTCCTCATCCTGCTGGCCACGTGCGGGTTTGCGCACAGCTCATGGGAAAATTGCGGGTAAGTGGCCCCATGCTCTGGAAGGGAGCTTGGGTGATGCTTAGGGGGGTCCCTGGAGGGGGCTGGGCCCGCTTGTACCCCTGTGGCTATGCCCCAGCTTCCCAAAACCCATGGGGGAGCCTCAGTTCCTTGCCAGCAGCCAGGTGCTGACACAAACAGACACACACCCCCATGGGCTTCACGAGCCTGCTGTCCATGAAACAGCTGGTGGGGAGGGCAGATGGCTGAACTTCAGCCTGAGCAGCAGCACAGAGCAGGACAGTAATGACTTTCTGCTTACAGAGGAATCTGTGGGCTCCGACCAGCGGTGTATGACTATGAGCACTTGGCTGATTATTTTGAAGAAACACGTGTTGTGGGTGGCACAGGTGCCAAGGAAGGGGCCTGGCCCTGGCTCATCAGCATCAAGCATCCCAGGATACCAGGCACAAGGCATCTGTGTGGAGGGTCCCTCATCAGCGCAGAGTGGGTCCTCACAGCAGCTCACTGCTTTGATGATGTCAGGTAAGGAGGAGCAGGAATTGGGGATATCTCCACAACACCAGCAGGTGCCCTGTCAGCAGCACCATGCCTTACTCCCATCCCCTTTCCTTGCAGTATGCCCATTGCCTGGGCTCTGTAGAGCCCAACTGAGATGCTGCTCAAGAGAAGGCTGGTCTCATGCCACTGCTTCCTAGCAGCCCCCAGCTCACCATTCCCACAGCCTAAGGCATACTAGGGCAGTCCCACCCTCCATAGCACTGAAGGCTGGCAAGTGCTGGGCTGCTGCAGCACCTGGATCTACTCCCTCTCACCTCTCTCTTCATCTATCTTCCAGAAATATAAGCGTGTTGTACTTGGTGATTGGGGCCACCCAGCTGACTAAGCCAGGCCGATGGGCAGTATTGCGCCGGATTAAGCAGCTGCGGGTTCACGAATCTTATAATAGAGATGACATGAGCAATGACATCGCTTTGCTGGAACTGAACAAGCCTGTCCAGTGCAACCGCTACATTCAGATGGGCTGTGTGCCTGACCCCATGCAGCCAGTGTCAGAGCTGGAAAACTGCTATGTCGCTGGCTGGGGTTCCACTGCTGCAAGGGGTGAGTTCCCAAGAAGAACTCATATCCTGAGAGCAAGCTCAGCACTCTGGGGAGACAGGTTGGGCTTCCCAGCAGTAGAGGCCAAAGCAGCCTCTGTCCTGCTGCAGGACAGATGCCTCTGGACAAATGGGCTTGGCCTGCAAGTCACACAGCAGGGACACAGGACTCCAGAGGCAAAACCAAGCTCTAGGGACAGGGAATCAGCCCCAGGCAGGGCAGGAGAACTGCTAAGGAGCTGCTGAGTGTTCATTCCTTTCTGTGCTAACAGCTCAAAAATCAAGTGATCTCCTGCAGGAAGCCAAGGTCCACCTCATCGATCTCAAGCTCTGCAACAGCAGCCGATGGTACGCTGGGAAAATCCACATCCACAATGTGTGTGCTGGTTACCCAGAGGGCAAGATTGACACCTGCCAGGTAGGAAGGAGTGTGTGATGAGCCCCCAGCAACACAGGCAGCCCGGTCAGCACTGCCCGAACACAGCCCCGGGTGGGCCTTGACCGGCCAGTCAGTCACTCTCTCAGCCCCGTGTCCACGCTGCTGTTGGGGCTGCCCTCCCATTCTCCATCCATGTGTCCTTGCTCAGTGCCCCCATTGTCCCAGAAAGTCCATTGAGTACTCTTGGCAGCCCAGAGGTTCAGGTGGAACCTCTGTCCTCCACGTGTCCAGAATCATTCTGCAGAGGTGAGAGCGCCCTACCTTGCAGGACCCCAACCTGCTCACAGCCAAGGTTCTGGAGGCTCCAGCACCTTACTTTGCCGAGAATATACCTCTGGCAGGAACTATGAGAGAGGAGACGGCCCCAGTACTGACCGGGGCCACCCAACATGACCCTAATCCTCTCTGCTCTGCTGCAGGGGGACAGCGGTGGTCCTCTCATGTGCCAAGACAGCAACGCTGACTATTTCTGGATAGTTGGAGTGACCAGCTGGGGAAGAGGCTGCGCGAGAGTAAGGCAGCCTGGAGTCTACACCTCCACTCAGTATTTCTACGACTGGATCCTGGTCCAGTTGGGCCTGAACCCATATGGTGGTGCTTCTTGAGCAGCAGGACAGACAGGATCCAGTGCAGGCTGCAGCGCACCACAACCCTTTCCTGCTGGGACAATGCCTGCTGATCCCAAGGCAGCCTCAGTGTCAAAAGCCTGCTCTGTCCTGCCCACACCCTTCTGCTGCCTGCAGGCAAACAGTGAAGTTGACTTAGTTGTTGAAATAAAGTTACCTGTGTTCACGGTTAACCATGTTTTTGCTCCAATTCCACCCCCTGGGCAAGGGATAGACTTCCATGCTCGGCACCTGCAAAATGAAGCATTGGGGCACAAAGGGACCAAGTTTCTCCCAAGGGCTGCAACTGAGCGTGGCCAGAGAGGAGAGTGCTCTGATCCACAATGGGATGGAGGAAAGTGGCACACCAAGCAGAGATAGTGTCTCAGTTTAATAAGACTGAACTGTTTTGCTATGAAGGATGAGTTATGATGTAGACCAAACTCCTCTCTCTCAGCAATTGTAAATCCGAAATTAAGAGGCTCCAATCGAGGAAGTATGGAGAAAGAAAAAAATAACAGCCCTTTATTAAAGGATATATGTGTATTGGCAGAACAACAAAAGAACACAAAAAAAACCAACACAAATCCTGTACCCAAAAATCCCCTTCAAAAGGAAACAGTTCGGTACATTTCCGCTTTTTGGTGCAATTCTAACCACAGTCAGCAGTGGGCACTGCTGGATCACTGGAGGAGCAGAGCCTGCAGTTGCTCAGTGGTGGTTGGCAGGGGCGCTTTTGGGCTCTGACTGTCGCCACGTGAGGCCCCGGTGTGCAGGAGAAGCCGAAAGTGGAGATTTTCCCCCCACCACCGAGAAGGCGAGGGGAAAAGGGGAAAAAAGGGCTTCTTCCCACAAAAACTCACGCTGTCTGCTGCTGGCTGTGGCCAGGATTTCCCCCTTTTAGTGGGCACAAACTGCTGCCAAACAAGGGAGCGGAGGAGGGAAAGGGTGACCTCCTCCCAAAAAGTTCCTCTGCAGATAGGTCAAGCCTCTCCCAGGATATCTGAGCAGATCTGGGCTGGGGGCAGAACATGGTGCAGGCAAGGCGGGGCCAGAAAACAGCCAGATGACTAGGCCGAGAACAAAACGACCTTGGAGCCTTTCCAGCATACACCTTGCCTGAGTCGAGGCAAAAGTGAAGCACCTCCGTTTCCGAGGAGAGAAGAAAAAAACTCATCAGCCCTTCCCACAAACTTAGAGAGGGCCATCCCCTTGGAATGCAGGCCACCTAGTTAGTTTTTTTATGTGGGTCAATTACCCCTTCCCCCTCCCTCTGTTCGACATCTTTCTTTTACAGAGAGGCAGGGTAAAGAAAAAATTCCCTGCTTGATTCTTTTTAGAAGAAGTAAACCTATGACACACCCTTTGAACTGTACGAGAGACTCCACATGCCCTGCTCAGCATGAGGGACAAAGTCTCTCCCCATACAGGTCTCCACAACCCTTCTGTGTCATACAAGAGACTTGAGCCCCGTCACCTTGCACCTTACAGGGGCCTACACAGCTCCTCAATGTGTGCCTTACTCCAACCGGGCTGCACACCCGTTCTTGACCCACTACCAATAATTTCACTAAATCTGCACAAAATGCCGCACCAATAGAGAGACTCAAAATCCACCATTAAAATGCAGGCAGAATCTGCTCAGGGAATTTTAACACTCACCCTTTGGCTCCTCCCTGCTTTAAAAATCCCAGTTGAATGTGCCTGCTGCCATCAGCTGCATGTTTAGAGAAGGGAGGCTCCCAAGGTAGTGACGAAGGCTCCTATCTAGGCTGCCAAACTGGTGAGGAAACTTCAGTCTGACCATTCAGGAGTCATGGGCAGCTCCAGTGAGCCAATGGGTACCCCGTTTGATTCCCTACACACCCCACTCTCACACAGTGAGACCAGGCTTCTGTAGTGATTGACTCCCAGGTTTTCTTAGCAGAGTTAGAGATGTCCCATTCCATAAAGCCACTTATTCACAATGCACTAACACAGAAGCAGCTCAAGCTGGAGGTAGAATTCTTACGAGGGCAAGTAGTGATAGGACAAGGGGGAATGGCTTCAAAATGTCAGAGGGTAGGTTTAGATCACATATTAGAAGGAAATTCTCGACTGTGAGGGTGGTGCAGTACTGGCACAGATTGCCCAGAGCAGCTGCAGATGCCCTCTGCATTGAAGGCTTAAGGACAGGTTTGGAGCCAGGCCTTGAACAACCTGGTCTAATGCAAGGAATCCCTCCCCACCTGTAGCACGGGGGTCAGAACTACATGATTCCTAATGTCCCTTCCAGCACAAACCATTCTATGGTTCTACGATTCTATGTTGCTCCTGCCCCCACCCCCACGCCAAAAGCCCAAGTACCCGGAACACAGAACCCACCACGCTGTGACATCAGCCCCGGGGACGAGGCCTTCACGGCCAACGCGGCTGCTGCGGGCACTGCGTCTGCAGCTGTGCTGGAGCAAGGAGCCCTCACTTCTTGCAGCTGACACGTGCCTCTGAGAGCCATGAATTGGCTCTGCCTCCTCGTCCTGCTGGCCACGTGCGGGCTTGCGCACGGCACATGGGACAACTGTGGGTAAGTGGCCTCACGCTGTGGGAGGGAGCTTGGGCGATGCTTAGGAGGGGCCATGGGAGCAGGCCCGTTGTCCCCTGTGGCTATGCCCCAGCTTCCCAAAACCCATGGGGGAGCCACAGTGCCTTGCCAGCAGCCAGGTGCTGACACAGACAGACACACACCCCATGGGCTCTGCGGGCCTGCCGTCCATGCTGGTGGGGAGGGCAGACAGCTGAGCTTCAGCCTGATCAGCAGCACAGAGCAGGACAGTAATGACTTTCTGCTTACAGATCGATGTGTGGGCTCCGAGCCATAGGTTATGACTACGGTGCCAGCGCTTATCAATACGGCTACTATGGCATGACACGCGTCGTGGGTGGCACAGGTGCCCACGAAGCATCCTGGCCCTGGCTCGTCAGCCTCCAGCATGAGTGGATACCAGACACGGGGCATTTGTGCGGAGGGTCCCTCGTCCACCCGCAATGGGTCCTCACGGCAGCCCACTGCTTTGACGATGTCACGTAAGGAGGAGCAGGGAACGGGGGTATCCTCACAACACCAGCAGGTGCCCTGTCACCGGCACCATGTCTTACTCCCATCCCCTTTGCTTGCAGTGAGTCCAGCTGAGAGACTGGGCTCAGGAGAAGGCTGGTCTCATACCACTGCTTCTTAGCAGCCCCAGCTCACCATTCCCACAGCCCAAGGCATACTAGGGCAGTCAGTGCCCCATAACACTGAAGGCTGACAAGTGCTGGGCTGCTGCAGTGCATGACTCTGCTCCCTCTCACCCCTTTCTCTGCTTCTGCCTTCCAGCAACATCAGCCTGGTGTACGTGGTGATCGGGGCCACCCAATTGACTCAACCAGGCCCTGGGGCACAAGTCCGCTACGTTAAGCAGCTGCGCCTTCACCAATACTATAATAAAGTCAACATGAAGAACGACATCGCCATGCTGGAACTGGACCATCCTGTCCAGTGCAGCCCCTACATCCAGCTGGCCTGTGTGCCCGACCCGACACTGAGAGTGTCAGACCTGGTCTACTGCTTTGTCGCTGGCTGGGGTGCCACCACTGCAAGAGGTGAGTTCCCAAGAAGGACTCATGTTCTGAGGGCAGTCTCAGCAACCTGGGGAGACGGGTTGGGCTTCCTGACAGCAGAGGCCAAAGCCAGAGTCCTGCTGCAGGACAGATGCCTCTGGACAAATGGGCCTGGCATGCGCCCAAAGTCACACAGCAGGGACACAGCACTCCAGTGCCTCTCCAGAGGCCAAACCAAGCCCTAGCGATGGGAATCAGCCTCAGGCAGGGCAGGAGAAATGGCAAGGAGCTGCTGAGTGCTCATTCCTTTCTGTGCTCACAGCTTCAAGAACAAGCGATCTCCTGCAGGAGGCCCAGGTCCACCTCATCGATCTCAAGCTCTGCAACAGCAGCCAGTGGTATGCGGGGAAAATCCACAGCTCCAACGTGTGTGCTGGTTATCCACAGGGCATCATCGACACCTGCCAGGTAGGAAGGAGTGTGTGATGAGCCACTCGGCTCCCAGCAACACAGGTAGCCTGTTCAGCACTGCCCAAACACAGCCCTGGGTGGGCCTTCACCAGCTAGTCCGTCACTCTCCCAGCCCCGTGTCCACACTGCTGTTGGGGCTGCCCTCCCATTCTCCATCCATGTGTCCTTGCTCAGTGCCCCCAGAGGTCTGTCGCTCTGCCCTGAAAGTCCATCCAGTCCTCTTGGCAGGCCTGGGGTCCAGATGCCAATCCTGCAACATCCATCCTTTGCACATCCAGAATCACTGTGCAGACATGAGAGAGAGCCCTACCTTGCAGGACCCCAACCCACTCACAGTCAAGGTTCTGGATGCTCCAGCACCTTGGTGTGCTGTGAATACATCCCTGGCACCTTGCTCTGCTGGGAATACAGCTCAGCTGTGAGAGAGAAGGAGACAGCCCCAGTGCTGACCGGGGCCACCCAACATGACCTTAATCCTCTCTGCTCCACTGCAGGGGGACAGTGGTGGTCCTCTCATGTGCAAAGACAACATCGCTGACTACTACTGGGTTGTTGGAGTGACCAGCTGGGGAAGAGGCTGCGCAAGACCAAAGCAGCCTGGAATCTACACCTCCACTCAGTACTTCTACAATTGGATGCTGGCTGAGATGGCTGCAAGCCCATATGGAAGTGCTCCTTGAGCAGCAGGACAGACAGGATCCAGTGCAGGCTGCAGCGCACCACAACCCTTTCCTGCTGGGACAATGCCTGCTGATCCCAAGGCAGCCTCAGTGTCAAAAGCCTGCTCTGTCCTGCCCACACCCTTCTTCTGCCTGCAGGCAAACAGTGAAGTTGATTTAGTTGTTGAAATAAAGTTACCTGTGTTCACAGTTAACCATGTTTTTGCTCCAATTCCACGCCCTGGGCAAGGGATAGACTTCCATGCTCGGCACCTGCAAAATGAAGCATTGGGGCACAAAGGGACCGAGTTTCTCCCAAGGGCTGCAACTGAGCGTGGCCAGAGAGGAGAGTGCTCTGATCCACAATGGGATGGAGGAAAGTGGCACACCAAGCAAGGCTAGGAAGAGGATAGGAAAAAACAAGGCCACTCACAGACATCTCTGGGGGGTGATGCAGCATTAGGGCATAACAAGCTTGTTATTTGGCTGTGATGTAAGTCTTGGCTCATGGGAGAGACCTGGGAAACTCCTGGGTATGCCAACCAAAATTCCTGCCTCCTGACAGGAGTCACAGTGTCCTAAGGAAGAGCCATGTGTAGCTAATGTGGAGTGATGTGCAAGGTGGTCACACTTCACAGATACTCGAAGGAAGAGTTGGGGTCATTCTGGGGAGAGGAACGTGGCAGGAACAGCAGGAGCCAGGAAACCCCATCAGTAATGCCACGGAAGGCCAAGGTGAGCCAGTTATCAGCACTTGCAACACCAAATCTGTTGACAGGTGGGCCAAACTTGGGAGCCAGGGGGAAAAAATCACAGAGGTTGGCTCTTTAGTTGGGAGGAGACAAGGGTAGGGAAAGGGAGGAGTCAAGAAAGATGAGAGTATAAGCATGGGAAATGGAGAGAAGGGGAGATTGAGGAGCCAGTTGCACAGGCACAAACTGCTGGTTGTTGCTGTGGTTTGACTGCATGCTGCACATAATCCTCACAGGATGGGAAAGAAACTTCTTATTGCAACCTAATAATTAACAAGTCATCTAATTACTGCACAAATTTGCCCTGTAAGTTTAGACCATTAAAATCAACCCGTTACATTTTATAAACAAAAAAAAAGTGGAATTGGTAGTGGATCCAGTAAAGCCTCGGTGTAGACATGTCTGAGGCAGTTGCTGCCTTTTCCAGGTGAAGGCAAGCGAAGGTTGACTTTGGTCTCTCTGCTTCTGGATACTTTTCTTGGCTCCCAGGGCAATAGGGTCCTGTCTCGTGCTGGGTGGCACTCTTCCCTTAGTTTTAATAAATATGAGCTGTGCTGAGACCAACTGTCCCACACCTCTACTGGTCCCTACCAGCCTGGCAAATGCTTCTTAAAGTATTTCCTGATGTGAGGGGCTGCCTGCTCTACAAAGACACTAAGTGCAAGTGTGTTGTGAAAGTTCGGTGTTGGTCATTATCCTGAGGAGCTAGCAGACCAGGGTCTAGCTGGCCAATCCCCCTGGCACATTGTTATTGCACGGTCCTTCCAAAATTCTGCTCTACATAACAACTTCTCCCAGTTTTGCACAACCTTGGCCAAGGACGTCCCCTTTTCTGCGCCGAGGATAATTCCCATCATGTCAAAGGGAACGAGGGACTTGAAACCCCTTTTTACATGCTAAAAAGGCACTTCAGCTCCCTTTCTGTATGTGCCAAGGGACCCTACCTCCCCTTGCACTGTATGAGAGACTCCACATGCCCTGCTCGGCATGAGGGACACAAGTCTCTCCCCATGCAGGTCTCCACAACCCTTTTGTGTCATACGAGAGACTTGAGCCCCGTCACCTTGCACCTTACAGGGGCCTACACAGCTCCTCAATGTGTGCCTTACTCCAACCGGGCTGCACACCCGTTCTTGACCCACTACCAATAATTTCACCAAATCTGCACAAAATGCCACACCAATGGAGAGACTCAAATCCACCCTTATAATGCATGCAGAATCCGCTCAGGGAATTTTTTCGTTCACCCTTTGGCTCCTCCCTGCTCCAAAGATTCCAGCTGTACTCCCCCGCTGCCGTCAGCTGCATGTTTAGAGAAGGGAGGCTCCCGAGGTAGTGACCAAGGCTGCCATCTGGGATGGCAAATTGGTGAGGAATGTTGGACCATTCAGGAGTCATGGGCAGTTCCAGTGAGCCAATGGGTGCCCCATTTGATTCCCTACACACCCCACTCTCACACAGTGAGACCAGGCTTCTGTAGTGATTGACTCCCAGGTTTTCTTAGCAGAGTTAGAGATGTCCCATTCCATAAAGCCATTTATTCATGATACACTAACACAGAAGCAGCTCAAGCTGGAGGTTGAATTCTTACGAGGGCAAGTAGTGATAGGACAAGGGGGAATGGCTTCAAAATGGTTTAGATCATGTATTAGGAAGAAATTCTTGAGTGTGAGGGTGGTGCAGTACTGGCACAGATTGCCCAGAGCAGCTGCAGATGCCCTCTGCATGGAAGGCTTCAAGGACAGGTTTGGAGCCAGGCCTTGAACAACCTGGTCTAGTGCAAGGAATCCCTCCCCACCTGTAGCACGGGGGTCAGAACTACATGATCCGGAAGGACACTTCCCACCCAAACCATTCTATGGTTCTGTGATTCTATGTTGCTCCTGCCCCCATCCCCATGCTCAGAACACAGAACCCACCACGCTGTG